ACATTAAATACTTTTACTCGATATCAGTTACGTTACACATTATAATTACTTTCTAGCAATTCGGAAATGTCGGTCATCGGTGAGTGACACGGCATTTAACGTTAAGTTAACAGAAATTTCAATAATCAACAGAAATGAATATCATTAATAACATTGCAATATTAACATTTAGTTCGCCGAACGACACTTCGCGAAAGCTTTTTCTCTCGAAAACCGAGAAACAGGAGTTACGCCGCTATTATTCCGAACCACTCGTGTTCCAACATTGGTTCGCTAAGGGTGAAAGGGCGATATTGAAAACGCGCTGCCTTTAAGAGCGAATAGTTACGTATCCGTTGTTTGATCTTCCGTCGTTCTATCGGTTACATTATTTTCCTGTTAAAAGAAGGAGAGACGAAGGAAAAAGAGAAAGGAGAGCGTTCGCATTGAACGCGACATCTCTCTCGTTTCAGGAACGCCGCCGACTCGGTACAAATGAAAAAGGCTCGCTAAGTCGGTCTATCAAGCTTCAGAAATAATTGGAGGGAAACGGTGCGCCCCTTTCATCTCCCTAGTTTTAATAGTCCCACTTAAACCGTGCAGTATCACTCTCGCGAATGAGAATAATTTTTATCTTTGTTTCGCTGGCATTTCATTTTTTCCCTATCCACCCCCTCCGCCGCCCCCTCGGCGTCGTGAAACGTTTTTACACTTTTTTTCAATACCGGCCCTTTGTCCGTCGGCTTCTCTTATCTGTCGTCACGTTCCGGCGGGTCATCGTACGCAACCCGACCTCGAATCGACAGAAAAGAGCGCATAGGTACACTGCTTTTTTCAAACACTCTCGTCGGCGTCCGACTGTACAGGCGCGGCCGTTTCATTCGAATTTTATTTAAATTCTTTCCAACGGTGTAAGTCATGACCTGCCGGTTCGAACGTGAGATTTAAAACTGAAATTAAAATAATAATTTCTTTACGGATATTTTCTTTCTTATAAAATGAAGAGTAGCGCAAGGATCGTAAGAATCATTGAGATATAGTATTTCGAATGAAACGGTCCGAGTGACACGTTGATTCGGATGAAATTTTAAACGGGTTTCGCTTAAAATCACTTTCGTGTTTATACTAAATGAGACTCGAACTCCAATCGGATGATCGACTTCGAAATTTCTAAGTCAAACAAGTAATCTGAAGGTAATTAAAGTATTCGTGAAGGTAAAGTTAAAGAAAAGTCTCTGTAAATGTTTAAACTTCTTTCGCGAGGTACAGGTTAATCATTATCTAGAAGCTGTCTCGGTGTTTTTAATAATTACGAAATTAAGGTATTAAACACCTAATCATCCGTCTGCAACGTATAATTCCACGATTAATTCTCGAAAATCGTGTCGCCCTCTGTCGTGTCCATAACACGGGCGTGTCAAAGGATTTCATTTGCCGGGCTTGATTAGAAAAACCACGGACTTTTTAAAGGGGCAGAGTGACACAGGCCGCGTCACAGGCACGACTGAAAAAATCGTCGAGGGTAAACTGGCCGATGCGGGCGGGATAAATTGCAGGAAATAAGAGAAATGGGCTTTTCGATCGAGGAACATCGCGGAGAACCGTATGAGGCAGCCCGGACACCTGTGATTCGTGGCGAACGGGAATCAAGCTGATCCGATTTAGATCAGGCTGATTCCTCGTTGCCGAAACCAACATCCTGCTTCCAATCGGCGACCGGTCTGCTTTCCCTGCGTTTTCCCCGCGACCGGAACACCGCTCCATTCGAAACCGACGCGTTTCGTCGGAACAATGTTCCAAATCGATCATTTGAAACGCTTCGAAAAGAAAAGAAAGTATTCTCTGTTTTGTTCTGTATTCCAGGAAAATTTAGAGAAATATAATCGTCGAGGAAATAATGTTTATTTGTTTGTCTTTGTAATAAATTGAATAACAGAAGTTTTAGAATAAATATTTATTTTTATGTACGTTGCTAGAAAATTGTGTATCTTTTTTCTATTTTGTTCTGTGTATTCCACGAAAATTTCGAGAAATATGATCGTCGAGGAAATAATGTTTATTCGTTTGTTTTCGTAATAAATTGAATAATATAAGGGGATGTTTTAGAAAATTTTCTTTCACGCTTAATCAAAATATAATGACGCTGGAATTACCTCTTACACGATAAAGCGAAGATTTATAATGATAGCGCATTTAGATTCTAACACACTAACATTACGTACAAGCCGCAAATTATTCGCAGGTAATATCTAAAATCAAAATTTGTTAAATCGCCTGCGAAACGTTTGATAAGCAAGTAATTGTCTGTTGTTAAATTCCAAATGACAAGGCATTCGCTGTGAATCCTGCTAAACTATTATTGCTGGCGTGCAATAGAATGTTTGCTATCGGGAACATAAATCCCTTGACCCTCTTTTTGTTTGCCTTTATCGCGAGTTCATCGGAACGTCGTTCAACTAGATATTCTTTTTTTTTCCTGCCGCACACGTGATCTACGAATTGAGATCACAGGAACGATGGAAGATGATGAATGTATTCGAACGGTAAAAAAGATCGTGATCTTGGAAAGTCGGTCAACATTAAAGGAGCAGATAATGCAACTTTCCCGTTTTCGTTGCATTTTTCGAATCGAATAAACTCGAAACTTTCAAACAGTATACACATTTTCTTGTTGAAACTTTTTCAAACTACAGTTCTATTTTAATCGGAGAGCAGAAAGACAGAAAGAATTTTGTAATTATTACTTTATAATAATTACTAACATAATACTATATAATACAATTTTGGTCTCGTCTTCGTTAGGTTAGGTTATTCTGTAATAATTACCAACACAATTGTACATAATACAATCGATCAGAGCTTATTCTCCACTAACACGCTATTCCGTACAACCTTTCAATATTTTTATTTCGACATATTCGTCATACCAAATAAGAAAAACAAAATTTACGTACATTAAACGTGAAATGTATCCGGCACTCGCATTTATTTCCACGTTCACTCTTCGATTTATTTCCGAGCAATCTGCGTTCATCGAGTTAAATAACTCGACCTACATTTATGTATAAATTCTATAAGCACCTTAATTCCCCTAATTTCAAGCACGAATAATTTTCTAGCGTGCGCGCGTTTCATGTCCGATTCATTTTATAAAGGTACCGCGAAGAGCGCCGGCCCTCTAAACGTTTCAACGCTGTCTATGAAAGCGAGCGGGCGATCCATAAAGATAATTTATGTACGTTTAATCGAAACTCCTATCGTCCGCTTTGTATGACACTCGGCTCGAGAAACTTCCGCGACATCCGGTTAAAGGCTGATTTTTATAGAGCTTAGAGTATTTATGGAGCGTGCGAAATTCAGGGACGCACGCCTTTTTTATCGCGAATGTCGCGTTCGTTTCAAGATCAAAATGATCGCGGGATCGCAGCCTTCGTTTTTCCGATATTATTGAAAATACTTTCGAACGTTAGCGACAGCTTCTTTTTTTTGTACAGAAATAACGTGTGTTTTCGTTGGCAATATTTAAAACGCGCCGGAACGTTGGATAAGTAAAAAAACCTATTTGTTAGCACGTCGAAGGCCGCAGGATATTCATAAAACAAAATACACGAAATGGATGAAGCTGTAATGTTGAATCATTTGATTGAGTTATGTTGTTATTATTGCAAGTTCATCCAGCTGAATGTCAGATGAGGTAGCGTTATTTGTAATATAGATCTGTTTACAAACAATCGTTGTTTAATCGAATGAACTATAATAATGCGATTCGGTTGGGAGTCACGGGTGATCCCCATAGAAAACAATGTGTTAATATTAGTATAACGCCACCGATGAGCAGACCTTGTTAAAAATGTTAATTTAGAAGAGATTGTTAATTTATTACTGTATTTAGAGAAATTAATATGTTATTATCAATTATTTCAAAATAATATTACATACGACATCGAAATCTTCATTCTCATCTTGATGTTGCAATATGATAAAGAAGAAAACAGCAAACATTATTCATGACATGACGCAGAGTTATTACGTAAGTAAAATATTCTTTTAGTTTTTTGTCTCGCTCGTGGCACAACTGTGTGTTACAATGAAATGAGATCAGTCGGAACAAAAACTCATTGAAGTAATAATTATCTTCTCTATGCGAGACGGGGTATCATGGGTGAATTGATATTCAGACCGCGGACGTTTCTAAATATTCGTATATTTCATGATTAACTAAGGGGAAAGTAAGGGGGGTGGCAATCAAATTCTGATTCTCTATTCCTGACACGACTCTTGCATCATAAAATGCAAAGTACGCCTTAATTAATAAATTTACTCGTTCGTCGCTATTCTCGTCCCTTACACAAGTATCTCGTAATCCCTCTAAACGCAAGAAGTTACATTTTTATTCTAGATTATTCGAATAATTCCACGTGAAGCCGATAAAAATATTCTATCAAATTCTGATTCTCTATTCCCGACGCGACTCTTGCATCATAAAACGCAAGGTACACCTTAATTAATAAATTTACTCGTTCGTCGTTACTCTCGTCCCTTACACAAGTATCTCGTAATCCCTCTAAACGCAAGAAGTTACATTTTTATTCAGGATTATTCGAATAATTCCACGTAGAGCCGATAAAAATATTCTTCGATATCGTCTCGCTGACATCTCTGTTACTCGAGTGAAGTGATACAGCTGTGTTCATGCACTTCATAATATACATAAAATCTGAAAACACGTACAACAATGACGTATTGCGTTTCAGATATGATCTGTACGACCTGGATAAAAAGGGTTTCACGTCGTATTGTCTGAAAACACAATGATAAATCAGCAAGGTATCAAGACACACACACTGTCCCGGCACTACAAGAACCGGAATTATAAGTATGTTATTAAGGTGAAGGGGGTAATGGCGTTCGCCTTGACGTTACAGCTGTTTAGAATTCACCAATACTACCGCCGCGCGGCGTTGGCTTACGCCCGAGACAGCTCCAATTTTTGCCAGTGATACAGTCATTGGTCTACTCACCCAGGAAGGACTCGGAAGCCTACGTGTATCGTTAATCACGGTGACAGCGCCGGGCAGTTAACGCTAGACGAAGAGATAGATCTGCGGCCTATGATCGAGCATAATTTCTTACCTGAAACAAACAGGATATGACATTAGGACTAACAGTTCCCTGAACCGATTTGTTCATTTCAGAAAACGCGAATGATGAGAAATATTTCAATCTTATCATGTGTATTGTATATTATAATGTATAACACGATTAATGTTTTAAGAATACGAAAAAAGAAAGTTGTTTTACTTTATATATTTCTCTATACGCACACGTATATGGAAGAATAAGAATAGAGGCGAAATATTCTTAATTGGTTTAAATAAGAAGCTGTTTTAAAAAAACAGTAAATAAACCTGTCGTTTCCTGTCAGAATTATTATAGTAAATATCTTTTACTAAAACATTCTTTTCAATAGTAGAGAATTCAATCGCTTAAGAAGAAAAATATATAATAAAGTAAATAATTTATAATATAGAAGTGCATAACATATAATGTAAGAATGAAACAATCGCGTAATTTCGTCTAGAAAAAGCACTACAAAGGAAGAATGAATAAACTGCTAAAATTCTGTTCCAACGCAACTGCCTGGACACCAAGTTTCTCAATGACGAAAAAAGGCCAGAAGAAAGGAGACTAACATCAAAGAAAATACAGAAAAACGCTCGATGGAACGGGTAAAGAAAAATGTTCAATTACAGTATGGAATTAATTAAACGGTAACAAATTACGAATCCTAATCCGGGAACCGGCACTCTCGGCGCATTTAATTCTATCGCGTCCCGCTGAAAATACACCGGCGAACCAGCGGCGTCCTTTCCACTGGCCCGTAATACACGCAAACCGTGCCCCGGAAGCACTCAATGCAATAACCACTTGATTCGCGCAACATGTTCAGTTTTCAGCGAGTGGAAGAAAAAAGAGTGCCACCTTCCGAATAAATGATTCACTCGCCGCGCCCTGTCACCGCGCGACGCGACGAAATTAATTTCGGCCCGGCCGCTCGGAGCGCGCGCGCTATATTTCATGCGGCGCGTGTAAAGGAAGTGGCGAGAATGAATAAAAAAAAAAGGTAACAAAACGGTGGGAAAAACAACCGGAAAAACCGTCGCGAAAGGGAAACGAGAAAACAATAAAAAATTGATCTCGTTACGATGTTACGTATTGTCGTCGCGGAGACACGTGTAGCCGGCGGTGTACGTTAAATAAATGAATTAAATCAAATTTCGACGATCATTATAAATAGGACGTTCCGCATTTTGCAAAGTATTTGTCGCTGTATTATACCAATCGCGCGTCGTATACGAAATAAACATATTACCACCGATACTCCCAAAGAACGTTAAATAAATTATCGAAAACGACGAAGACCGACAAAAACGAAACGTTAAATAACTAAACAAAAAACCGAGAGTATCTCATGTGTTACGTATTCGTGTAAAGTGGCGAAAATAAATAAAAAAGGTAACGAAAAACAAAACGAAATCGGTGTGAACGCAACCGGGAAAACCGTCGCGAAAGGAAAACGAAAAAAAAATAAAAAATTGATCTCGTTACGACGTTACGTATTGTTATCGCGGGGACACGTGTAGTCAGCGGACACGTGACACGAGACGACTCCGATTGTTATTACATAAAGAAGCGCGCGCGATAGTCAATTCGCGCTACGGTCAATGGCGGACGGCTGGCTGTGTGTTACGCAAAGGTCGAGTCATTGACAGAGCGTAAAAGATGGCGCGCGAAGAGAGAAAGAGAGAGAACGGGTGCGCGCAGAAATTGATTTGACGTAATTCGCCGGGGCCGGCTGCGAGGCGAACAAAATCCGAGAACGGTGTTACGGATTTAATTGACCCCTTTGATTCGCGAAACTCTATGCGCAATCACGATCTGGTAGCCGGTTAATTCCCGTGTTTTTGTCGGTCGGTCTTCCTTGACGATCGTGGACGTGAAGCGATTCTCGAATGATGCGCCAATTTCGTTGGGCTCTTTCGCTCGGTAATCGGAATCAAAGGGGACATTGCATTTTAATGCAACGATTGTTTTATGAAACGCGGAATGTACGATGTTACGATGAATATTCGACTTTGTCGGGGGCCTTTTTATCATAATGTTTAACGTTTCAAGAAAGTATCGAGGTACGTAATTTGTGGGCGAAAGGTGTTTGAAAGTGTTTAGTTGTATAATGTGTAATACGTTGAATAGCTTTGATTTTTTGTTTAGTTATTTATTGTGTCGTCTTTGCCAATCTTCGTTGTTTTTATTGTTGTTTGTCACGAATAGTGATATATAGGTTACATAGCAGTGAATATGTAAAAAAATGATATCTAAAGATCACTTAAAACTTAAATACAATTTAATATTTTATTTGAAAAAATCGATATAGATTCTAAGTAAAATATAACTGAAATTTTCGGGTATGAATGATCATAATTTGTGTATTCTGTATATGATGTAAGTACTTTGTAAGATACAGAATATATTTAGAATGATCATCCGAATTTTATTTCATTTATTTATTTATTCATTTGATATTGGTGTATAACGTGTCTGAAAGTACTTGTTTACGAGACAAATAATGGAATATATAAATCATTTTCAGCGGTACTGAAGAATAAAATGATGAAACGGCGTATGTACAATTACGAGTGTTTGAAAGAAGTAGAAACGGAAAGTTATGAACAGACACGCCAACTAATTCTTACTGAACGCGTATTACGTTTTCAAACACGGTTATCTTGAAAACGAAACACATAAAGAAACGTGATGCTTTGGATTCATATTTTCACTTCGTATCACTTTCTATGTATCTGAAAAGTTGCAGCATTATTCTGCAAATACAGTTGTACAGCACATAAACAAGGACCTGCTTTCGTTTAAAATCAATTCGTTAGTTACATAAAAAAAAGCAAGAGCGAACTTGACACAAAAATTCTATACTCAAAAACCATACAAATCATGCAAAATATTTCCAACTGATCGAAATTCAAAATAAACCATAAAAACCGGAGAGAAATAAATCATTTGTTAAGTACCTCCATCTAACATCAAATACCACGAAAATAAAACATTAAAATCTCCGAATGATCCCATTCCGATGTAAAAAAGGGATAAAGTCATCGCGTCGCAGGTCGTTGACCTGCTAATGGACTTATCATTAAGGCTAACTAGCAAATTCTATTGCAGACGCGGAGATATTTGATGGCCAGTTAAGAACGGTACAACGGACCGGACTCTATTCAGTTCGTGCCGCCAAATTAGATTTTTCATGGCGACGAGATAAAAATGGGACGGAATAAATACAGCGAAAAAAGTGAAATTCCTTCGAACGAATCGTTAAATAAACGTAACATTTCCCGGAGAAAGAGCGGAGATAATAAATAGACCGCACGCTTCGGAGGCGAACCAGTTTCCTCGTGAAAAGTAACCTACTTTAATTAATTACGCAGCTGAGTTGCGATCACATCGAGCGAGAAGTTCGATCCTCGAGCACGACGGTTACGTCTATTCATAAAATTATGCCTCGGCTGCGCTCCGTTCGAGCGGCTCGCCGCGAAAAAAAATCCTTTCACATTGATCCACAAAGGATGCGTCGAATGCACTCGACCGGAGCGATGCGTGACAAAGCTACGCGTACACTTGGCGTACGCGACATTTCCTGCGAAATAAAATTTCTACGGCTCGCGGTCGTTTAAAATGTACAGTCGAGGGGGGAAGAGCTTCGGATTGAAAGTAAACGATCGTGAGTACTAATGACTGTTTCGTACACTAGGCGTAGGATAACGGCGTATAACACGGAACATTTGATTTGGACAAATTAATAAATATTCATACGTTGATCGATAACGATGCAAAAATATAAATGCTTTCGAACCACGGTAAAAAATGTTAAAGTCTGGAACATCGATTCGAAGAAATGGATGCTAATAGAATATTTAGATAATTTGTAGACAAACCTCATTTTTATCACGAGAAATGAGTATTTATGGAATTGGAAGGGATAAATCATTTTTGTAAGTGCTACCATGAAATAAAAATATGTTACACATTAGGAATCCACGTATTCCAATGGAAAAATAATAAGCAGAAGATTCTAGGAAGAAAATAAATCTGCAGCTTTCGGGTGGTGAAAAACAACCACGAAATCATGAAAGAATAAAATTAGATTCTTGTTACATTGAATCTAGAATACGAAAATATATAGAAAGAGGTATTGTGGTCGAATACAAAACATTATTTTAAAGTTTGTTCTTCTTAATCCGATAATCTAGACCACCGTGCGGCGGTATCGTAATCGATTTAATCAACGGTATCGAATATCGATCTGTTGCGGTATTAAAATGGCGATGCGACGAACGAACGATGATCTCTTAAGACAGCTAAAGCTGTATAGATCGGGAGATTTGTTGCGGTATCCGCGAAGCATCGGGCGATAAAAATAAATTGATGTGTAGTCCGCCGTGTAAGCGTCCATTTATATAACGTATGTACGGACAAATAAAAGAAGACATGTAAATGACATTTAAACGAGAAAAATATAGAATCAATTTTCATTAAAACCGAATGCGGATACTATTGGGAGATATTTATGATTTTTGTACAATCGAAAATAACGGAATGAGATGTCAAAGGACCCAGAAAATCCAATGAAATGTTATTCATCGGATTATCCACTAATTGGGCTAATAAATAAAATTATTGTCTCTTATAAACAAAACAAATCTTCTAAACAGAAGTCGTGAATATATGTTACAAATATAATTTATAATATATTTAATATATTTTGTATTATAACTGCATTTACTAGATTTTTCACAATATACTACGTAGAGTATTACTAGATCTACAGAACAATTCAACGGATATTGAATTTTTTAAACAATATATAAGAAGTTAAGTGGATTTGTTAACGTAACGATTTCGTAAATTTTACCTTGTCACGACGAAAACCTTCGTTGTTAACATAATCACGTTTTTAATATTTTTGAGAATCCTCGTCGATATAGAGTTAATACTGTGATACGTACGATGTACTCTTCACCCGAAAAGTGATTCCTCCACGAAAAATACAATTCCGTCCTCGT